CACCGAAGCGAGTGGAGGTGATTTGGAGGTACTCGGCGATGCTCGAGGCAAGGTCGCGGGTGGTCCGAGTACTCGAGCGAAGGTGAAGATTGACTATGGCTCGGTTGAGATGCCCGGGGACGAGTCTACACTTTTATTTTCTTTGCTTCTTGTTTGTATCAATGTTGATTTAAAAAATATAATTTTATTAATTTGTAAGTTATTATTTTTGTGTATCAATCTTGAAGTTGAAAGACAAATTTATGTCATAGGCATTTGATTAAATTTGACAATTCATGTAAAAAAAAATTTTAAAATATATCAAGATTTTTAGCCCGTTTCCATCAAAAGAACCATTTCACCTTATCTCGTTTTTGGTGGTCAATGGTGTGATGAATTAAAATGAAAAAAGACAACTCGTTTTGTTACCCTTACCTTTTATGTTAAGTATCAATTTTGTATAATTATAGTATGCATTTGAAGAAAAAAAATATATTTATATATAAGTACTTTTTGATTTGATTTTAGTTAATTATTCTAATCTAAATATCTAACCAAATCACGTTGTCTATTTTCATATATTTTCAATTTTTTTGTTTAGGTGGACTTGATTCTAAAAACCCCTAAACATGCCTATATCTTTGTGCATGACTTTCACATTGCAACATCTTTAGAAAGATCAATTTTAATATAAAGACAAACAAGATTTTTTGAACAAAGTCTAGAAAAACCAACTTAAAATTTGAGAAATTAAAAATAAATTTACTTTAAATTTAAAAGATTAAAAATATATTTAAGCCTAAAAATTATTTATGAAATTTGCATTAAGAAATAGCAAAAACAAAGAGGGATAAAGGACATTACATATATAAAGTTCCAACCTCTAACCCTAAACATGAATAAAGAGATTTAATGTTTTGTTTCGATATTATGATATTAACAGGAATATTTACTAATTTTGTCAGAAATAGTCTCCCAGCGTATTTGGAAAACCCTTTTTTTTTTTTTAACGAAAACGTAAAACACACTTTCCAAAACACCAAAATACAAAATAACTATTTCTATCTTTTTCATTCAACGTACGTTTGTCAAATTTTAACAATAAAATGTTAAAATAAACACACGCTCTCTCAAAACTTTGCCTGCATTAAAACTATTCCTCCCAATGTTTTTTTTTTTATCAAATCCAAAACTTAAACTCGACACCAGTTTGAAAATCAATCACAATGTCAATTGGACCAATGACATTGGAAGAGGTTTAAGATTTTAACAATTGACTACAAATTTGAATTAAAGAATAGCAAAAACAAAAAAGAATCGAGGGATTGCATGTATAAAGACCTAATCTCTACGTGTTGATGATGGTAAGATGGAAGAACTCAATTTTAATTGCATTTAAGATACAAGAGCTACCTCCTTGAAGCATGTCTACCTCTATACGCATGACTTTCGTACCAACCACCAGGGAATTGCATTGCAATAAAACAACATTTGCGGCATGTGATATAAACTGGATGAGAATCATGTTTCTAGATCCAAGCAATTGCTTTAATTGTAATAAACAAATGGGTTGAAGACCCAAAAGGAAAACAGAATTAAGTAATTAACTTACAAATGGCAATTGCAGGGACATCCTAAACTGTTACTACACCCTAGTCCTAGCCGGGTCAATTGAGAAATGGATTCATAAATTCATAAAAAGTCATGTTAAATAACAATTAAACGTCTATTCTTCCACTTGCTATTGACGACTCTTCTTTGCTGAATGACCAGTCTTTCGCTTATGACGACTGAAATCAGACACAAATCTGAATGTTTGTCCACAACCTGGTTCAGCACACACATAAGGCCGTTCACCAGTGTGGACTCGAATGTGCTCAGTACGAGCCCACGCCCACTTGAAAGTCATCTTGCATCCCTTCCAAGGGCACTTCAAGGGACGCTCATCCTCGTGAACTCGACGGTGCTGCACCAGATACTTGTGTGAGAAAAACTTCTTCCCACACCCTTTTACAGGGCAGATATTTCTCTTGTGATGCAGCAGCTCCTGTTTCGACCCAAAACTCATAGTGCACCCATCAATATCACACTGATATTCTGGCTCCCCATCCTTCATTTTGGCATGGCCAACCGAAACCTTTGCAGCTGTAGCATTCTTCACCTTCTTCCTTTTTGTTTGCTTGCCTTTCAATTTTCCTTCAGATTCCTGACCTTTTGTGGCTCTCTTCCTAAGGCGTGTGCTCGGTCCACCTTCTTCCTCCTCTTCCATATGTAAACTAAACTCCTGAGAGTTGCTCGATTGCTTATTCCGCAAATGAGAAGACTGTTTTGTTTGCTGAGGAGTCTTTGATTTCATAAGTATCCGAGAACCCCGTTTTAAGGGCCGAGATGCCTGATTTTTCACTTGGAGGGTATTAGCTTGCTTCATCTGTTGAAGTGTCTTTGGTTTCGATTGTTTACTACGAAGAGTTCTCCTCAACTGCTGATCATCTTCCATTTCATCATCAGAATTCATATCATCTTCGTCCATGCATTTAGCTTGCTTCTTTTTAGGAGTTCTATGCAGCAGATGAGAATTATTTTCAGCCAAGTCATCCAAAACTTCTTTATCAGTGTGTTTGTTTTGCTTGCTCTTAGGAAATCTTCTCTGCTGCTTCTGAAAATGATCCTCCAATTGGTCATCAGATATTTCATTTTTAACTTCTCTATCAATGCCTTTGTTTTGCCTTTTCCTAGAGAAACTTGTTTGCTGCTTCAGACAATGATCCTCCAATTGGTCATCAGACATGTCATCTTCCCCTGCCCCACATTTGGCCTGCCTGCCCTTAGGAGTCCTTCTTTGATACTTACGAAAATGGCCCTCCAATTGGTCGTCTGATGCAATATCCTCTCCATTGAGGTATTTGGCTTGCCTGCTTTTAGGATTCCTTCGTTGCTGCTTCTGCACTTTCAGCTCTAGTTGGTCATCAGATGTGATATCTTTTCCAGTAATGTATCTGCCTTGCCTGCTTTTAGGAATTCTCCTTTGCCGCTTTTGAAAATGACTCTCCATTTGGTCATCAGAAATTATATCTTCTTCGCTAATGTATTTAGCATGCTTGCCTTTGGAAGTCTTCCTTTGCAGCTGAAGAGAAACAACATCCAAAGAATCCTCTGAAATATCATCTCTCTCTGTATCTTCAACTTGCTTGCTGCTTAGTTCTGCCCTCTGCTGCCAGTCAGAATCACAGTCCACTGAATCATTTGAAACCACATCATTGTCAATAAATTTAGCTTTTTCAACATTAACATTCCTCCTATGCTGCATGTAATCATCATCATCATCAAGCGAATCATCAGAAACCGCATCACTTTCAGTGCAGTTTGTTCGCTTGCTTATAGGTTTTCTATGATGATATGGAGGAGAATAATCCCCTTTCAAAGCAGCACCGTCTCTGTCAACATGCCTGGCTTTCTTCTTACTTCTAAGAATCCTCCTTGGCTGTGAGTTGGGTTTATCTTCAGTGGAATTATCTGAAACTACATTTTTCTTAACATTAGTACCTTTTCTGGTTCGTCCATTCTCTGCAGTCATTTTCCTTTTCTTACCTGATTTTCTGCTAGTAGTTTCACTTTTGGGGGTACTTTCTGATCTCTCAATTTTCTCATCAGATAATATCCACCCAAGTATGAGTTTCTCATCCTCAACATCTTCAGAATCTCTTTTTGCTAAAAGGGGATGTACCTGATTGGACATCCAAACTTTACCACACCATTTCCCAGCAACAACCTTTTTCTGCTTGTTGACCCTTCTTTGGTAGACCTTTGGCTCTACAGGTGAGCTTGCTGGAGAGCTACAACCAAATGCATAGTATATAACAGAATTGTAAGGCATCTGCTTACTATAAAGAGGAGAGCGGCACAGATTTGCACTATAAAAGAGATTGATTCCTAGCTTTACAGCCCAGTCACCATTCCCAGGAATAGCTTCCTCACTATCCAAAGCCGATTGGATCGTCTCCTCATCCTCCTTGGAAGCATGCCTGTATGCAGTATCCTTCCACATGTAATCAATCCCCAAATCTTCTGCCACCAATTTTGCTTCAGCCTCTATCTTGGGATAATCTATAGAAATATGTAACATAAACAATTAGTGTTTTACAAAGAGGAAAACTAGTAACAGTAACTATACAATTTTTAATCAGCAACACAATGAGGTTAATCAGTAATCAAAAATCCTATGCAAGAAAATGAAGATAAGCATTAGTAGCCATAATTCTATACAAGACACAGAAAATGAAGATAAAGTTAATTAGTATTAAAAATAAAAATGAGGTTATGTACACCGACTATCATCAATCCATGACAAATACATGAAAAATACTTCAAATAAAAAAAGAAACATCTTTTGAGATGTCCTGGCTTGTGAATGAATAGTTATAACTCATCATAGATGGACAAACATAACCCATCTATGACAAACATATCATCTATGACTACAAAAAATAAGCAAATTAAAAAAATATAAAGCATAACCAAAAATAAGATTCATGATTTTCTTTATACTATAAGATTTAATTTTGATTCACAAACAATGTAAAAAATACAATATCAGCAAATTTTGTGGTGCCATCTATTTAAGAAAATAGGCAAAAGCTTTCACTATAAGTGAAAAACAATGACTGCTTCATTTATTTGGTATCTTCATATTTACAGATAGTGTAAAATGCTTCATACTGACATTGAATCAAATTCAAACTCTTATCAAAGTTGGATAACCTTTCCATTAAGGAGGAAAAAATGATTTCTTTATATTTTGCAACATATACCGACATAACTTCCATCAAGGGACTCACATGTTTCTTAACCAGTTTAAACTCTGAAGCTATTAAGGGTTCATTCTTAAAGAGCAAAAGAATTGCAAAAAATAAAGTTGAATTGTTAGCAAGAACCTGGGCATGAGATAAACAATACAACATAAAATGAATAATTAGTCAATCAACCCACAAACCTGGATGACAAAGGAGCAATATGTGGGCTCCACCTATTGGACGAAGTTGCTGCTCTGCTTCTATAGCATGCTCTAGACAAAAAACATGCATTCTGGATGAGTCTTCATCGGATTGTAGCACCATTGAAGCATTTTTATTATCAAAGGGAATCATAGGCTTGTTAGACAACGACCTTTCAGCATCATGAGCATCTTGGGAACAATTAGAGGTGGAATTAGGAACCGTCCTTGAATTTTCAAATGTAACCCCTGATGTGATATTATAATCCTGTTTCTTAAGCGAGTGGTCTAAGGACTGATGACTCAAATTACACTCAAATCTACGATGCATAAAATCCTCATAATCAGCACTCTTTGAAGGAATATCATCTCTCCTATCTAGTACAGTCATGGGACTAGCATGGGAATCTTGAGTATCTTGAGTATGAGAAAGTAAACTTTCAGAAGCAGGGTTTATCACATTTGATTCATGACCGTCAATTGCAATCTGATCTTCCTCAGAGTCAGAAGAATTTCCATATGCCGAAGCCAATAATGCAAGAGCTGTATTGCCATTTTCACTTTTAGTGTTTAAAGCCTCCCGAGAAGATTGAACAGGAACATCATGTATACCATCTTGGACATTCTTTTTCATCCATCCTGCATAATGGAACTAAAAGGATTAGTACCAAGTTTTACCTAAATCCTAGGCAAGAAGACTGAATCAATGAATTATCTGAGGCAAACTTTTGAGAGATAAAGCAAAGGAGATATAAAAGGATTTAGCTTCTTAGATACCTAAGTTGTGCCTTCATATGCACATCACAAAAGCTTTGTATAGAGCACTAGTGCATGTCCCTGTTTTTTTTATTTTATCCCCCAACTAAAAACTTCTTATAATGAGATTTGCAATTATGTAACTAAAGACAAATTTACGACACTGATGGCAGGACAACTCAAAGCTTCTTCAACCATCACACAAGACAAGACAAGACAAGACAAGATTCTGTAGTCTCCTGGAGTTCAGTATTTGAATATTACAACTAAACAATTTAACCATTTCTCTTGTATAATAAAGTACCACAGGATCCAAACCAAACTTCTGGACCCCAAATAATACCAGAGGGACAATATAAGAGAAAATTAAAAAAGAAGACAGATAAATAAGTAGGCTAAAGCTCAGACTGTCATCAGCTAATTTATATAACATCAATATTTCACAAAAGGAGATTTGGAGACAAAAGAGGATATCCCTGGTCCATGCCAATGCAGAGACAAGTCATAACCTACAGGCATACATTTGTGGTTCTGCTCTACTGTAGGAAATTATCATGAAAGGGTGGCCATGCAACTCGGCTCTTACTTATAGAAAGACACTGACCAAATAAATAAACATGTTTCCCAAATAGCACAAGACAGGCCCAGAAAATGCCTAGAATGTGAAGTCGTTATTGATAAGATCCAAAGAAACTAACTATTTTTGATACAATATGAAACAGTATGAATGCTAGAAATAGAACTTATAAAACCTGCCTGTATACATATTTGGCTCAGGAATAGTTGCTCTGTCATGGGCAATAGTAAATTTATTGCTTGATACTCCAGAGCCAACAACCCAATCATTAAAGAAGCTGCAATCAGCTGACATTAGATATCTAGCTGCTGGTTCTCTAGGCTGTACAATAGCAACACAGGAAAAGCTTAATATTCCACACGTGACACAAGAAAACAGTCTCTGATCTGATAATCCTTCTCCTTGGCTAGTTTCTCTTTCATTGTCTCTTTGAATTGGCTTAGAACTGGAAGTGCTTACATTACCATTTGCATCAAAAGAGGAAATCCTGTTCCTTTCATACAATGTAGTAAACTTGTCTCTCACAGAATAGAAACTTTTTTCTTGCTTGATTCCATGACTCCTGTTGAATACCAGATCATCAGAAACAAAACCTTTTGAGGAATGCATTCCCTCAGAATTGCTTACATTGATGGATTGCTGGGATCCAACACGTAATTTTGAGCAAACAGAAATGTCAACTGAGCTACGAGGAAGAAATACTACAGGAGATCCTTTCCCAAGTATATGAAGCAGATCATTGTTCTGTAACACATCTTGGACAAATAGTTCTTTAATTACTGTTTCTCCTTCACCCTTCTTCTTATCTTTAAGACGAGAACTACGAGGTTCAGCACTGATGCCCGCTGGAATTCTGTATGGAAGAAACAAATCATATTTACAGGCAGTATATTTTAGAACAGATCATATGATCATCAGAATAAATGTCTTGGTGTCATGATCAAATTGTACTACATGAAATTTTGAATAAGGAAAGCCTAAAAACCAAACATTTATATCAAGAACCAGATTGATTCATCCACACTTTTTAAAAATTGGAGAATAAAACTGCATCCTGAGACCCCATTAAGTCAATAAGGTATCATTAATAATTGCATCAACCTACTAACAAAATGAAAACAAAAGATAATTCTAGTAAGATATCAGCAGCACACTCTTATAGCCAATTATAAAAAGCTAGTTTAGAAAAAGACAAACCTAGAACACAATGCTAAGGCAAGGTCATAAAGTAACTGGAAATGTGAAACCATGGGAGGATAATTTAGTGAAGCCCTCCGAATTGCAGCATCTTTAGCAACCCTCAACCACTCAGGTGTTGCAATGTTTGCTGCCTCTCCACAATTAAAGCCTACACAGCAGACATTCAAAGCATTACAGTCATTCAACTAAACCCTTGAGCCTATGAGTAACATTCTTAAGACTTTTAGTTGCCTTACCATGACTAAACCCTGTGTGATAGGCTCTTGGAAACGTCACAACAAATTCCCCAGCATTTTGTACTAGCCTGATTACAAGAAATTGAGAGTTAAAGTTAAAGATGCACATAAACCACCATTACAGGGTCACTGAACAAGAAAATGACATCTAATATTTGCAATGATGATTACTAACATCCATTCAATTTAAAATATATATATATATATATTCGAGATAAAAGAGGGTAGCAGCAACCAGGGAGAGGACATTATATTCTTTTAAGCAGCAAAATAAATTAAGAAAAAAACAGAGGGAACCAAGCATGCAGCAAGGCTTTGTTGTCTCTCTGCATATCAGAAATGGGTATCCCTTGAAACAGCCATAGCAGAGCACCAGAGAGAAGGAAGAAAACAATACTACTCCAAATCAAAGATGAGGGTCTTTCACTCCAACCACATATACCACACAACTAAAAAAACTACACCATTGAGGTTTCCTTGTTTCTACCAAAGCCTTCAAAACTAACAATCAATAACTGCTTCCAAGCTCCAAGTGAAAGAGAACTCAATATTCATTTAGTACACAAATGATTTCAAAAGGAAATAGCCACAAGATAGTGAGAAAATAGAAATAAATTATTCCAAATGGAAATGGAAGCTGTAATGATGAATTCATGTTAATGACAGGAAAAAAAAAAACAGAAAAAGTTAAATCTTTTGACTAGGGATACATTTCCAGCGAGGTTGCATTTGAAATTGTAACAGAACTTCAACATCTTTAAGCTTGAAATTAATTTGTGTGTCGGACAAAATTAAGCAGCAATTCAAAGTAAACGCAAGCAGCATAGCATCACTAACACACCACAGAAAAACTGGTAGTGTAAGTACTTAATGTTTGAGATTAATACGGAGGATATACCAAATACGATCACAAAACTATAGCATGATGATCATAAATATTAGTACCTGCAGCATGGAACACCTGCACTAATAAATACTTCAGGCGACATCACTGTGGTTTTCTCACCAAGAATAGCAAAAGTAACTGTTGAAGGGAAACAAGACCCATGTAAGTTTGTCACATGTTGATTCATATATAAATGCAAAAATCGAGTATCATCCTTTTAACAAATGCAAATCACTGTTATTCGTCAGTTATCCCGGGGAAGGGGCTGACCAAGATCTTTCATTCCTCATAAATTGAAACATAAAAGATGATATATCAAAGGTGAAAGAAGTGAAGGAGATAAAAAATAAAAAATAAATAATAAAAAATAAAAAATTGAAGATTGCCTACAGAAAACAAGAAATCAGAAATATGAAGGTTATGTCAAGGAGATGTATGTGTTAGCAGAGTAGATAGAATGTGAAAGAATGAGATGACTGTGCCCATCCCAAATGGGGGCTGATTTTCAAATTCCAAATTGGAAAATGGCATCAAGATATTGTTCAATCATTAGCCGCATTCATTGCCTCCTAAATCAACAAGTTGGCGATCTAAAATCAACTAAATAAACCCTAATTTTGTCATCTTTCTTTGTTACAATCAAAATTTCAACCACTTTTAACTGGCTGAGATTAAAACAGAGAACTAAAACTTAAATCAAAAACTCCTAGGGTTTCAATAGTGAATCTTGATTTCAACAATCATGCCTTGATCTGAAACTCATGATTGTGAAAGCATGTCACAATACAAGCATGCATCCTTCAATTTATAGGTAAAATGCAGAAAAAGAATTAAACAAACTATACGGCCTTTTACAAGTAAAAGAGTGAAAGATTACAAGAACATAACATGTTAACAGAGCACAAAACAGGACATTCATTAGAAGAGCGAGGACAAAATGATTTTCTGATCCACTTTCTCCCACCATAATGGGTTCCAAACAAAACTTCACTGTGTTCATTTTTAGACCAAAACTGACACAAACAGAAAATGTACTCCCCAGTGCACCATTTATGGAAGGAAAAACTTGTTCCTTTTCAACCAAACTAGCGTTGTCCAGAGCTTCGGCCAATAAAACACGCTGCTACAAGTTTAGGACAATCTTCTTAATAAGCACTTCTAAGAGAACAAAATAAGGTAACATGAAATAAGTTTCTCCAATAAGTTAAAATTAGCTCATATCATACATAATCTAATTCATAGAAGCTCTCTCATCTAACTCCTCCAAAAAGCTAAATTTAACTTGGAAGAAGTTTAATTCATTTTACTTTGTTAACTATTTCCCCTCCAATACTTATTCAAACGCTTTTCCAAACAAAACCACGGTCAAAACCCACAAAAGAGACAATGTGATACAAATACACTCCGTAAAGCTAATAGCGGTCCTTACGAATCCCCCAATTATAAACAGAACCTTTCAATAATAAGCAGACGCAGAACCACACCAGCAACTAACCATGCTTTTCAAAGTCAACATTTCACAAATTCGAAGCAAAGGCAAGCAGGCGCGCACGCCAAGAGAGAACTGAACAGTAAATTCAACAATGCCGAAAGAATAAGAAGCAGGCGATCTCACCGAGCGGGTTAATCTCGCCGCCGTAGCCGTGAACCCTAACGACTTCCTCGAAAGCGACGGCGGCGTCGCGCGGGACGCCGTACCAGGTCTTGCCGGCGCCCATGTGGAGGTAGTTCAAACTGTGCAAGTCGTGGTCCTCGACGTGCCAGGCGAACCAGCTGAAGAGCATGGCGACGTAGACCATGGGGGAAGTGACGCCGGGAATCTCCTCCTTCATGAAGCGCAAGAGCGAGCCGTTGGCCCTAGAAACGGCGCGCATGTTCCAGGGAGTGTCCGCGAGGGAGCTGGGATCCCCTGCGTCGCGGCATTTGGGGGAAAACGCGGAGCCCGGCATGTCGTTGGCGTACTCGACGGAGAAGGGTTTGTCCAGCGTGGCCTTCCAGAAGAGCGTTTCCGTCTCGAGCGGGCTGAGGCCGAGGCCGGAGCCCGAGGCTGAGGCCGAGGCTGAGCCCGAGCCCTTCTTGGCGTGGCGTTTGAGGTACGTTTTCTCGAAGGACTTGGCCTTGGACTCGAACTGGTGGAAGGTGTAGTGGTCGCCGCTCTGCCAGACTGGACGCTGGACGGGGCGCGGACGGCGGGGGCAGAAGCCGATCTGCTGCTGGCGCGTGGTGAATGTGGAGCCGGCGACGGCGGCGAGCGAGTGGTTGAGGTTGGCGATGGCGGTTTTCTTTGGGGAAGGCGGGAAGGGAGGGATGATTTTGCAGATGCCGTACTTGGAAGCTTCCTTCTCGATCTTGAATATGTAGGCGATTGGATCTTGGAACTCGGCGACGGTGGGGCGGTACTCCGGCGCCACCGGCAGTGATTTGAGCCAGGGCAGAACGTCCTCGGAAGCTCCTCCCATTAATGATTCTTTTGGTTTAGATTCCGCCTCTTCCTCTTCCCCTGTTTCCAGAGGAAGAATGAAATTGGGGCAGGGCTCGGCAGGGGTTAGCAGAGTGAGTAGTAGACATGTGAGTGATGTGTGAGTTGGGGTTGGGGCCTTTTATTCTCTGCCTTTCTTTCTCACAATTGCCATTGCCTTTTCCTCTTATTTACCTTCACTGCCCCTTTTCTCTTTCTAATTAATCCACTTTCCCTTTTTTCTCTTTTTGGATAAATCATCACTAAATACTAATCAGGCTACTTTTGCTGATGCGCCCTTTTCTGCCGCTTCCTGGTTTTACGTTATTCTAATTTTGCCCCCGCCAAGATTTGGTATTTTCGGATTGGGTTGGCTGGATGACGCCACGGTTGATGACGTGGCCACATGGGTCTCTCGCGCTTCAAGGGGAGTCAAAGACGACCCCACCGACTGGCGACACGTCAGCATCTTGATCTAGACACGTGTCGCATCCTGATTGAGCCTTCATAAGCCCTGCTTGCATGAGATAACTGAAAAATCATGCAAACTAGGCACATGATGGAGCAGGGTCAGCAACAGCATGAGTGTGAGTAATTATAGTTATAGTTATAGATATGTGTTTGATTTGATTGCAAGACTCGATTAAATCACCTTCCTTTATGGTGAAAATCAATGGCAAAATACAAGGACTTGAGTTAACAAATGATATGATAACAACGTTCTAGTTAGTTTGCAAGTCAAACATCAAGTAACTTCGATTTTCCCTGTTTCTTTTTTTTTTTTTGTTTTTTTGTTATGGTGAGAGAACCTTTGACATGGAAAGTGAGTCCAATTTAATAGTGACATCACCCGTGCACTAAATTTAATTTAACTCCATATATTTACTGTGTGTTCAAATGGGAGAATAATGTTTTTCATGGAACATTTATTACAATTTTATTTTTCCTTCTTAAAAGATTTCCTAAGTACTACGGGTCTTGCTCTAGTACCCTAAGATGATCCATTAGAAGAAAAAGTAACATCACCGTACATTGATGTGTATGGATCCTAGACATCCTAGCCATCCTTTTACAACCATGATTTTTTCGTAGGTTTAAAATTTGTATTATTTTGCGTGGCTAAAATGAGTTTAAATAGAATCCTGTTGCTTTTTGTCGGAAAGCTTCAACGTAGACTTCTTATCATTTATAAAGTCCCTATATTCTCTTCCATTTGTTCTCATATGTAATATTTTAAACAGAATTATTTTCCATCAGCGTTTTTTATCTTTCTTTTTTGGGGCTGAATTATTATCATGTTTTTTTAACAAGGAAATCCCCTTGTTCCCAAAAATTATGTTGCCAAAATATATCTTTGAAGAATCATGCACGTCGGTTATGTATATATTTTTTTGTGTGCAGACAAACTGAAAAGAAAAACATTTATTGATGTACTTTAAAGTAAGCACGTGTTTGCTAGTGGTCCAACATCTATTAGAGTAATTTTAATGGTGTAACCACTAACCACTATAAATTGTTTAAGTGGGTTTTTAATGAATCTCGCCGTAATATATCATTTTCTATATTCTACAATTTAATAACTTCCAATGATATAAAATCTACAATATCAAAAAAACACTGTACGTTAAAAAAAGTGTTATAGCATATTTTTCGTAAGATTATGCTGTCCTAGATTTACTCTCTATTTTAAAAGTTATTTCCAGTGATTTAAAAACCGGACCGAACCGGCCGGTCGGACCGGTAGGGGTGAAGGTGGTCGGTTTGTATTTAAACTTGTCGTTCCCCCGTAACGATGTGTTATTTTTGCTGACCACTTGATAGTAATGGTGTCGACAGAAGGGAAATAGTCGATTCCGAGGCCTGGGACAATTTCCCAAAGATCAAGTGTTCGCCCTTTTTGTGACTTCGAATGAGGCTTCGACGTTGCTACATTGTCCAAGCTGGGTTCAAAATTCGCCGATAACTACGGTCACTAGATGGGGGAGATGCCTATGCCAAGACCTCCGTGAGTTTGGTCGGAGTATGCCACGCTGGCTGTGGCGGTTACAAGTTCAACGGCTATTAAATATGGACCGTTGGATGGTCAAGATCCAACGGTTGTGGATTCGGGGTGTCTTTTCACCTCCCCCCATTTACCTTGCCTATAAATAGAGGGTTGCATGGGAAATTCACGCGCTGTAAATTTCCCGAGGGCTCTGAAACTCAAAGACTTGTCCGAGCTCACCGAAGGTAAAAATTTTGTACTCTTTAGTTTCCTATACTCAATGGACAGAGGCTATTTGTCGGCTAGGAGCTGGACGTCACCGGAGGCGTCAGGTGCTTCGCCGGAGAGAGAGAGGTCGGGTTTGAGTGAAGTTTCAAGGCTACCCTCGTTGCAATGTGAAGTGGTGTTCCCTTCGAATTTCCCCGAGCAAGAGGATAGCGGAGACGAGGTGGTTGAGGTGTCGCCCCCCGCGATATTGGCGGCGGCTTTAGCACGAGTCAATGAGGCAGCCCCTCACACCGAAGCGAGTGGAGGCGATTTGGAGGTACTCGGCGATGCTCGAGGCAAGGTCGCGGGTGGTCCGAGTACTCGAGCGAAGGTGAAGATTGACTATGGCTCGGTTGAGATGCCCAGGTACGAGTGGGTGGACGAGGAGGTCGGCATCTACTTCTCGTCGTTCTCCGACCAAGGGCTACTTGACAAGTTTGTGACATTGGAGAAGTGCTTCGGCAGTGGGGAGGATGAATTGCCTTTAATCGCCGAGGCATGTAATGATGATGGGCTGGACACTGATTTCGTGTTTTTGGAATCGGGATCGGAGGAAGAGGGGTCGGTCGGAGAAGATTACATCTACGCCTATATGTGCTGGTTCTAGGATCTCGACATAAAGCTGTCCTTTGACGATTTTCAATGGGGGTGCTCTGAGTACTGAACGTGGCGCCGACCCAACTGCATCTGAATGCTTGGGCAGCCATGCAAGCTTTCCGGAACCTATGCCTCTGCCTAGGCCTCACGCCCCGACCACTCGTGTTCCTATATTACTACATCTGCTGCCCGAGCAAACCGGTTAAGTGGGTTTCCTTAGCTTAGGTGCAAAAACGAGGATTCTTGAGGGCGTTTACATCGTCATATAAGGGTTTTAAGAGTGGGTTTTTTAAGATCAGTTGGGGGCCGGATATGGATGACTGCTTCTATGACCGAGAGGGGTCTAAGTTGTTCCCCTTCTACTGGACGAAGCATCCGACGCGTTTTGAAGCGATGGACGCTTCGAAGCTCCCTACCGAGGATCGAGAGATCGTCGATCTTCTCGACCAATTGCCGAAGGGGTTTCCCGTCCGAGGACTCCTAGACATATTCGATTCTTCAAATTTTGAGTTTACTCTATTAGGTATGCTTATTGGCTTCGATAGTGCAGCAGTGTTTTGAATTGATGTTAAGACTTGTGTTATTGCAAGGTTAATGGCCGGCCACGATTTGGACGTAACTGCCATGCTCGCGAACCGAGCAAAAGCCGCGAGGGCTAGTGGGAAAGTGCCACCGCCTAGGTAAGCCCTGAAGATTCCAAGGGAGAAGCCCTCGAACGTCCTAGTTCCCTTGCCCGATTCCAGGAAGAAGACTGGTTTAGCTCGGGTGCGTTCGGCCGAGCAAAATATAGAATTAGACCGCCCGAGCTCATCCACCAAGCGCCAGAAGCAACCAACTTTGGAGCAGTCGGGATGTGGAGCTTTCGCCATCTCGGCGGTCGTGGTCGGGTCTAACTTCCTTAAGCTGATGTATACCGGATGGTAGCCGACCAGGCCAAATACTCAAGCATCCGACCTGACCGACCCAATTACCCTCACCGACCACACCGATTACCTGCCAAACGTGTCGGTGTCGTCGGCCAAGTTACGGATTTTGATCTCTCGGGAAGACTTCTGGTCGAAGCCAAAACGAGTGTACAGATCAATGTACCCTCTCGTCATCACTCTTTCTCCGGAGAAACCTACCATCGGCTCGTGATACGGTTCTAGGCTCTCCTCGGGGATCCCTAGTTGCACAAAGGTGTTCCAATACAGTATGTCGGCCGAGCTCCCCTGGTCGACCAAGGTTTTCTTCACAATGCAGTTGTGAATTTCGACTGAAATGACCATGGGGTCGTCTTGGACGGGGTCGACGCCACAGAAATCTCGATCGGAGAAATTTATTGGTGGCATCCTAGGCATCTTTGGCTGATTAACGCTGTTTACTGATTGAACAGCTCGGAAAAGCCGCCGCCAATATCGCGGGGGGCGACACCTCAACCACCTCGTCTCCGCTATCCTCTTGCTCGGGGAAATTCGAAGGGAACACCACTTCACATTACAACGACGGTAGCCTTGAAACTTCACTCAAACCCGACCTCTCTCTCTCCGGCGAAGCACCCGACGCCTCCGATGACGTCCAGCTCCTAGCCGACAAATAGCCTCTGTCCATTGAGTATAGGAAACTAAAGAGTACAAAATTTTTACCTTGATCGGTGAGCTCGGACAAGTCTTTGAGTTTCAGAGCCCTCGGGAAATTTACAGCGCGTAAATTTCCCATGCACCCCCCTATTTATAGGCAAGGTAAATGGGGGGAGGTGAAAAGACACCCCGAATCCACAACCGTTGGATCTTGACCATCCAACGGTCCAGATTTAATAGCCGTTGAACTTGTAACCGCCACAGCCAGCGTGGCATACTCCGACCAAACTCACGGAGGTCTTGGCATAGGCATCTCCCCCATCTAGTGATCGTAGTTATCGGCGAATTTTGAACCCAACTTGGACAATGTAGCAACGCCGAAGCCTCATTCGAAGTCACAAAAAGGGCGAACACTCGATCTTTGGGAAATCGTCCCAGGCCTCGGAATCGACTATTTCCCTTCTTTCGACACCATTACTATCAAGTGGTCAGCAAAAATAACACATCGTTACGAGGGAACGACAAGTTTAAATACAAACCAACCACCTTCACCCCTACGGGGTTCCTTCCTTAATACCCGACAACCCGGCCACACCGATTACGACTGCATCAGTAGGCTAACCACTCCTAAAACGTAAAGCTAACCGTACCTTGCACAGTGCCGACCCCAATCCCATCTCAAAAAGTCCTAGTATGTATCACCGTCTTCGTCTTTCCAATCCTTGATGCTGTGGGGGTTGTATACCGGATGGTAGTCGACCAGGCCGAATATCCGAGCTTCTACTTGAAATTAATTTATCTTCTTTCGTATTTTTTTTTTTCTGAACGAATATGCCTACTTTTTTTTTTTAAAGAAAAAATGCCTATTTTGCCTGTTATTAGTATAGCGTTAAATTGTATATGCTATTAATCTAAAACCTTTATTTATTCTAGTCTAACATTCAGTCCAAAACTATGCAAACATTACCCTTTTATAGAACAAAAAAAAAAAAGTTAAACCCCCTTCGAATGGAGCAAAGTTTCTGATTTCTAGTTTTCAAAACTTATTTTTTAAAATAAAATGTGTTTAGATAAAATAGTTTTGAAGTCATTTTTAATGTATTTGCAAAATAGTTTTAAGTCTTATACCAAAATCATGAAAATTGATTTTTTCTGTTTTTTTAGTTGTAAAATTATGCTACCAACAATGATCAAGATCACACTTGTTGTCATTATAAAATTATTATTATATTGAAATTACTATTAATAATATTGTTCCTTTTATTATTATTATTATTAAAATTACTATTGTTATGACTAAAATTATTGTTGTGATGATTAAAACTGTTATTAATATTAATTAATTGTTATTCAAATTAGGGAAAAGGAAATGCACTATCAAATTAAAGTTTTTCACAAAGTCATTCATTCACAAATTATTATTTTCATTATTAGTATTTTATGAAAATTATTACTTTCATTATTATAATTTTATGAAATTTATTATTATTATTATTAAGAAAATAAATATTATTGTTTTTGTCGTTATTTTTTAAAATTAATTTTATTTGACTTAAATATTTTTTAGTCCTTTAAATATGAAATAAAAAAATTTTATTTATTAAATTTAAAATTATTATTTTAGTTCTTATAACTTGAGACTTATTTCAATCCTTTTAGTCAAATGTTGTAAGTGAACCTGTTAAACAAAACTCATCAATTATTGAATTTATTACATAAAATTCACCTACTAATATTTTTATTAACAAAAATATCATATCGAACCTAATTAACTCAATTTATCTTTGTCAAAGATATTACAAGTAATCTTGAATTATAAAAATAATATTTTTGAAATTACATAATTAAAAAGATCAATTTTAAATTTAAGAAATCAAAATCAATTTTTTCCTAAATTTATGAGACTTAAACCATATTTAATCTATTTATTTTTATCAATATTGTTTATGTAATTTCTGCTTAAGAAACTTGAAAAAAATACATGATTTGTGAGACTTTTAATAATTAAACATTTTTCACTTGCGCATTGTAGAGATAATCCATTTAACAAAAAATACTATTTTCCAATATACAAAATTTCATCAAGTTAACAACATTTATAATATTATGAACGAAATTAATATTTGACTCAGTATACTAGAGATACTCTTTGATAGGACTAAAAAGATTGATATTCTTTTATAAATTATTCTTTTCTTAATATTTTTCTTATGTAAACTTAAAAAATACATGTTTTGTGAAAAGAATTATTATTGACATGAACCTGCAACAAAAAAATTAAGATTGACGGTAACTTTTTAAAAATGAAAAAATAATATTGGAACTAAATTTAAAGCTAAAAACTGAAATATGATTTTAATTTTTAATATTATCCCGATCGAGGGCTATAGTGTTCCCTTATGTTTAATTTAAAAATCAATTTTATTTGTGTATACACCAAGAACATCTTTCAACTAAAAACAATCTCTTAGATTGAAAAATTATCAAAATATTTTGCCTCTTCGTAACAATATATGCTTTTCTTGGGTAGATATATGTTTTACGAATACAAGAGTAACTCTATAACCCAAAAAAAAAAAAAGTTGACCTGTGAATCTTTTTAATCAACTTATCCAACAATCAAATTGATAAAATAACATTTCAAGCAGAAAAATTCATGTCATGCCTTATATAGAAAAAGATATAAAAGACAATTTGCTCAGCATCAGGCGAGTTATAATTTTTGCAGGCTACCCCACACATCATTTTAATTACAATATCACAGCCGAATTGATGAGCTAGCTCAACACTCATTTTGTTTTCATTCTAATCTAGAGTGAGCATCATTTGCTGCAATTGTACGATGCATGTAGTATTGGAGGCAGTGTCTCATTTCTTGGGGGAAATTAAGAGATTGGTCATGATGAACCACCTAATCAATAATAATTTCTATGCTTAAACAACTAGTTCATGCAAGAGAAAAATAGCTTCTCATTAAGGAAATATTCAGCATCCAGAGTGCAGACAGTAGAGAAAAAAAAATAAGGTTAAATATTGACAGTGACTTTGTAACATAAACACTTATACTGGATCCTCGTTTTGGGGGATAGAACTGGGAGAGAGCTCCAAGGTAACTGGACAATGATCACTTCCATAAAAACCTGCAGAGACAATAATAAAGTCATGCTTAAACTGCAATCAGGTTTCAGATAGAGAATGCAAATAAGCTAAAGGAGGAGTTAGCAATAAAACCATATTTATGTCATGAGTTTCACATTTTATGAGTAATCAATCGCATGAGTAGAAAGTTACCTTCTAACTCTATCCCGTGTCCAAGCATTTCACATGAAACAATCCTTTCTTTAAGTTTCTCTGAAACTAAAAAATAGTCTATTCTCATCCGTTTTCCACGATACCTTCAAAGAAAACCCTCGTAAGAACTAACAGGCCAAAGATGTTAATCAGATTAGACAAATATTAGTAAGTCTTGCTTAAATTGTTAAGAAGAATGTCATTCCTTGTATTTGCCACACGCCACACATTTTAACAGTTATTACAGAGGATGGCTTTACAGTTTACAGCGGTAAAAGGAAAAGGTGAAGGAAAAAAATGGTTTAGAGAAAAGACCAAAAATGTGTGAAATTATTCAGGCGCATTGCCCCGACATAATAGTAAATCAGCATCAACATCGAGAATCAATTCCTACATTATAAAGCTCAAAATAAAATTAATTTCTTACCTTCCAACTGGGTTTCCAGACCATGAGAAACCTCGCTCCATGTCCTTATCCTTATCCTTGTTTAGAAATCTGTAGGCATCTATCAGCTTTCCCCTGGAGCATGCTCCATAATCAGTTATTATCAAGACTTAAAATAAATAATAAATAATTAAAAAATATAGGGTAAAAGAAAGTCATAAGGAGTCACTGCAACCAGAAACAAGTCACTATAGATCAACATTTTCTTTTATTAATTTAGTTGTCCTTTTCTTTGGATGGAATACTCAGAGAATACAGACATTGTAAACTTATTCAAAATTTAAAAATACTATCTAAAGAAAAAATGCAAGGTCCAATTTCTCCTAGTCTTCAAATGCTTGCTGTAGTTACCCTTGTGTTTGTTTCTTTCCATTTAATTCATGCCATTTAAGTTAAAACTAAAAAAAGATCTTATCGCAATGAGAGAAGCTTCTAGAAGGCCCACCACTTCATAGGAGCGATAACGAAGCTGTATAAAGGCAAACAGCTCATATACTTTTTGCTTTTTATTACTTTACCGCAGGACCTTAACAAGGAAAGTAAAGAATATCATCAAAACTAAAAAAGATCTTATTGCAATGAACTCAACTGTTAACAGTGGGTGGCTAAAAGCCTAAAACACAGATAGGAAAAAATAATACAAAGTTTGAAATCTAAACTTTACTATGAAAATTGTCTAAAATTCAGTATTACTAAATATAAAAATCACTTCCTAAACCTTAACCTATTAAGACAGAACAGACATTAAACTGGTCCTGACAATCAATATTGCCATGAAGTTAGATAGACTGCAAGAAACAAACTTCCCACATCACAGTTTTGGATGGAAGAAAAAAAATATTGGGAAATACGAATTACTAACCAACCCAAGCATCATAACAACTTCAAGGTAGGTTTTTCCATGATTTTATAGGTAACAAAAATCAATTGACAAAAAGAAGAATAATCTCACTCTCTTAAGATGGTACCAAACCGTTTTCTTTCAGACAAGGTAAACCCAGGCTGCCCACAATCCTGCATAAAGCCATATCAGATGTTTAATTCCTACTTGTATGGTGGATAATTATACTACACTACCTGATGCCAACCGTTAAGAGATATAAAACCATTGTTGCACCTCTACCTAATAATTTTAGCCTTTAGGAGATAAATCTATTGGAATTAAAAGGGATGAACTTCAAGAGGAAATTTCTTAGACCTCTTTATTTGGAGGAATATAACCATTGAGTTTTGCTGTACTGAAAAACTCTGGATGACTCACATCGATCTCTTCATGGCTGCACACAATGAATATGTATATAAAACTCAGGAAGTCTAGATGCAATAGTAGACACAGTCAAACAACTATAACATAGATCTTGATCAAAACTCGGAAAAATTCACACACAATCCAAAACAGTTCTCTGGTATGAGACACTATAATTAGAAAAAAAGCCAAAATTATATTCATTTATAAGAGTCAAAGCTGGTGACAACTATAGAAAAATTATGCTTTAGGGCTAGGTAAAACTACATCTAAAAGTTAATCACAATACATGCGTAGCTTCAATGAATTAGTTTTCACATAATTCATATAGTTACATAAAATTAAAATAAAATATATATCCTAGTGGTCCTTTCAAACTGCTGGATTTAGTCTTGTACGTCACATGGCTCTTAACAGAGCTAGATGAAACCAACAGCTGAGCTTGACTCAACCAGAATAACGACAAAAGAATCTACGAGGTAAAAGTATGTTGCTAAACAAAGGGGGCAGAACTAATTAATCCTATATAGTATATCCCCGAAGCCCAAAGAAAAATGGAGATTAGCCACCTGACATTCAGATCCCCACACCATATTAAAGGCTTGTCTGAATTTTGTGTAACAAATTCCAGAATCCTTTTGTCCCATTTTCTTCTCCTTTGAAATGAATTAGCCTCCTCTTTCCATCCATTGTTTGGTACATATGTATTCAATAAACGAAGTGTCTCGAATTCAGCTAGGATTACTCGACCATCTGGTTCATGCTTTGAAGCTAACAACAAAAAGAAGAATAAGTATCCAACAGCAGTAAACAAAACATGGAACATAGTACAGCCTACAGCGCACATAGGTTAAAAACTTATCTCAGATAAAGTCTATTCTGATTGTTAGTGATCAATCACATGACTACTTAAAAATGCATGTACATTCATCTTTAAATCTTGACCATTCAAATATGCTCTAATGGTCAATGTTTATTAATATCTGACATTTGAATGCTGAAAATATTCATATAAGCAAAATAAAATTTAATATCATAACAAAAAAAATATATATGCAAAGCAGGATACCTATTTTATCAAGATTGAAAACAACACTTTTAGGCTTGAAGCATTTCTTAACCAGTAGCGCTGTCCCTGCGTACTTTGAATCAGCAAGAGACCACCAAACATTATAGTTCCCAAAAGGTGGAGCAGAAAGTGCACGCATCAATATCTGCATAAGTTTGAACATGTGTTCAAAAGTATTAGAAAATAATATGATAATTATATCAATTTAATATAAGTACATCACAGTATTGGTGTATAAGTAATGTTAATACATGCTAGGGATGCCATAAAGCCATTAATGAGCCTTCAGCTAATAGCTTAAACGGCTTAAATATACTTAAGTAAATATGGCTAAATTTGGTTTTAATCCTCCAAAAGCTTGTTAGTTGATTTTGCCTCATATGTCTTAAAACTTTTTAAAATGTGGATAATGTGGCATGCATTTAGCCAATCCACATCTACGATCATTTTGATGTGACATGTAACATGACATGTCAAGATGCATGTCATGTCATCAGTAAGGATAGAGACTATTTTTAAATTCTAAAAAAGACTTAACTAACAAAGAAAATGAAAAACTAAAACCAAATTTATCTATGTTAACAGTTAAAAGTCTATTTTACCCTAACTTCTACTTTTAGGAGAGCTGGCCATTGACATAGTATCAAAGCCTCAATGATTGAACGGCCAAGTGATTGATCCATGCCACTCTTATCTGTCCAAATAAAAATGAATCTACATAGTAAAAATGGGTACATGCATTGGACTTCAAACTAGGGGTGAGAGAAAAAACCATATGAACCAACCATAAATAACCATATAGTTTAAATAGTTCAAGAACCGGAAACTGATTTTTGTAAATAGGTTCAATAATTTGAAACAGTTTTCTATTTGATTTGGCGAAGGCGAGCCTGTATAAAATTATTCATATCACAACTTAATCCAAATTTCTGCATTTGTTTCTTCTGTATGCACCCGAAAATCTCACATTGCAAAATACTCTCTACTTTATCACTCTCTTCACCATTTCATTATTTGAAGCTTGTAGCCAATGGCAAACAATGTCAACTGTGGAATGCAAGGAAGCAATGAATTTCTCATAGATGGTGTTAAGGTGTTGCATTTGATTGTGCAAGATGGAAGATCAAGAGGGTTTGAGAAACTCAATGCTGAAGAGGCAGAGAAGGACAAGAACAGAGCATAGATTTTGTGGTTTTCAAACTGCAAACAACGAGGCTATGATTCAAGGATAGCATTGGTTAGGGGTTTCAAATCCACCACTACAGATGCAGAAATAAAGCTGCTAACAGCAGAAAACAAAGGCCTGGTATTTGGATCACACAATCTATTCATACTGACTGGTCAAAGATCTAGCTCTAATCAAGAACAGCAAAACGGAGAAAGACAAAGTTAGTGCATACCAGAGCAATCTATTCATACAGCTTTTGAAACTTTCTTTAATGCTGAATTTGAATGTTTTCGTTGCAATGGAGATGCTCAAGATGGTTGAAATGGTGCTGTCAACGGAAGGAGGGAGATCAGAGATGATCATAGCCCATTAATTGAACCACTAAAACAGTTTCATGTGGGTTTTACAAAATACAAAAGCTTCAGTTTGGGTTGGTCATTTTTTATTTCAGGACCGAACTAGTTCAATTCAGTTTTCAAAGAAAACCGAACCATGCCTGTAGGGCTCTTGCTAGAGCAGATGCGTAACAGATGTAATAAAGCCATTCACGAGTCTTCACCTAACAACTTAAGCTTCGACAAAATTGATTATTGAAATGCATACCACCAAAGTAATTTAAAGACCAATAAAAGAACTTCTAGGGTTACATTAAAGTTATCACATTATATCCTTTTGTTCAATAGTTTCATGAGTTCAGAATTTCATGTCAGGTAAACTGATCATACATTGTCAAATAGCTTTCTTTCACACTCTCAATCGCAGCATTGCTGACGGTTAATTAGGATCTCAGAACTACTATAAATATTCCATGTATCACAGATAGCAATGGTAACATTCAATTTTTGGTTATCAATAAAATCAGTTCTCATTCTCTCTCAATTCTAAGATAGTATTTATTTAGAGCTTTTTGATCCCAGTGGCTGTCGAAAACCAACCACCTCATCCTCCACCACCATTCTCTGGTAGCTTGAAGAGCTTAGGGTGGGATTGGTTTTATGAAAATGTTTCTGATAAAACACCTTAGAGATGCTTCCCCATCTCCCCCCAAAGCCCCTAAAGCTATGATTTTTAAAGGGTCCTATGTATGATTCCACTTTCCAGGATCATACCTGAAGATGGTCAAGCTTATCCCAGCAACCCCTCCAAGAATTTCTAATGATCTACCTGACCCATCAATCTCATGAAATCTATCCAATCAAACTGATTGGAACACCCATGTCAGGGCCCAATCCCAGTCACCCTGATTTCTGAAAACCCTCCCATAACAGAATGGATACATGTCACTCTACAATATGCTAACCCCAAAGCAGAATATCTCATTCAAATCATGGCAATCATGGAGAGGACCCCTAAAAGTTACAACACATACATAGATTCACAGACCCAACAACACATGTAGTGGCCACAATCAATAACAAGACAGAAAAAAAAGTACCTTCTTTTCTTCCCTGGAGGCACTTGTATCATCTTTGATCTCTCCCTGAATTTTAGATGCACCCTTGGCTCCAGCAGCAGGCATCCGCACTTCCTAATGAAGATTCAATGTCACACCAAGTTAATGATTAGCATAAACATGGCATGCAATGCAATGTATCCAAGAGAAAAATGGAAACTTAATAAAAGTTTGATGGCTTAGGCCCTTAGGGTAAAAGTACTACTAGGCTTCAATTAAAATCATTATTCCAGGAAAGAGGACCTGTATGGCAATGACATCAGGATCAAAAGTGGTGATGAGGTTGGTGAAGTCTGGCCAATTGTTTTTTACTCGAAGCAGAAAGCTGTTGGCATTCCAAGTCATGAACTTCAAGGGTTCCTTCTTCTTATTCTCTCCACCCTCAGCGACAGCGTCATTCTCTCGTGGCTTCTTCGCAGACCCATCTGAATCTTTCTCCACTACTTTGAAAAACCGTTTCATTCTTCTTCCCCCTTCGCTCTTCCACTTCACTCACTCTATACTGTGGAGTATTGGGTTTGATCCTTCCCCCAAAATCAAAATAACTCACACTGTTGCCTCCTTTATCGCACTATATTTCAAAATGCAAAAACTACTAAAATAATATACTGATATTTGAAATTTGGTAAAATTGAAAATCAAAACTTTATGCTACTAAGATCAAACCTCAACAAAGATTTAAAAACATATTTAAAATTATAAAAATGTGTATGTGTGTGTAACTTAAGTGATGTAAAACATACATGTTACAAGTAATTTTTTTAAAAATTATAAGAATACGAATAAATTAGTTTAACATAATTTAAAGTTTTTTTTTTGCAACATAAAATAATTTAAAGTTAAAAATTGAAATAGTTAACAATGACATGATTCACTCTATAAGGAAAGTAAAAAAAAAAATATTTAATTTTTCTATATTTTATTTTAAGATATGTGATTTAGAATTCTATTTAACCAGAAGTAAAATAAAGAACAATAAATATATGAAAGATATGAAAAAATAATAACATGTATTATTTTATGGATAAAAATTTTAAAAAGTAAAATAATTTAGCTTCACTTGTTTGCACAAATAAAAATAGAACAGAAAATAAATAAATTATATAAACATATTTTCAAACCAATTAAAAATATAATATTTACTATTATTTTTCTTAACACTAAATTATTCATTATAATTAAAATTTTATATTTAAAAATATTTTTTTTTTTAAATAAAAGTGCATAAAATCATCTCCAAAACATGACAAATGGGTAAGGATTTTTGTAATGAGTAAAACTATTAAATAATTTCTTCTTATTTATTTTCTAATCAAATATGTGAAAGTTATATGATCTCTCTCTTCTCATTTCTCTCATTAAATCACTTGGTTCAAATTTAGTATTTTTTTTATCAATATATGAGGGTTTTTTTTATAATAATAAAAAAAAAAGAGTACACAAAATCGATTGCAAAACATGACAAATGAGTAAAGATTTCGAAATTGGTGGAATCCATGAAAGTTGTCAACTTTTCCTTCTTTTTCTCTTCAAACCAAACAAGTAAAAATTACACGTTCTCTCACATTTCACTCCCTCTTATTATTCTCAATTCTAAATCACCCAATTTATATATATATATATATATATATATATATATAGAAATTAACTATAAATGTCACTTCTGTAGTCAATTTTTTTTTTGGTACTTTACCCGCACATCTGTGTGGCCTATTTCTCCTCAATATGTCATGTTACTACCTTCATCTAAAGTTTCTGGTACAAAAATTAAGAATGTAGTTAATATTTTAAATTTATATAATATATCATTTAAGGATATAATCGAAAAACTATTTAATACATTATTAATATTTTTAAATAACAATATCAAATTGGGTCAATTTGTTTTTACTAAAATGTTAGACAAAATGGGACCAAGAGAGATTCTCCGTCTTATTGAGAAGCAAGATAAAAAGGCAAGATGATAGAATTGCTACTTTATCTTGGTAAATTAAAGTTCTTGGGACACTTAAATTATATTACCTTCCTCTGTAGTTTGAAAATTACATGTTCTTTCTCTAAAAGATGAAAATGTGTACACTTAATTTTGTTTTAATGAAAGTTAATCTATAATGGTGAGTGTTGAGCAACTTTGAATGGGCTTCATAGGGCATTTTCTTTTCTTTAGACTGCCAATGTTATCAATGTACAACTAATTTTGAATATCATATCACTAATAAAATATCCTATTACTGATTTTAGGACTTAAAAAATTATAATATATATATATATATATATATATATATTCAAATAATTATTTAAAGTTATTCTTCAATCAAAGTGTCTTTGCTTATTTGTATATGGACTTGATTGAGAGAATTCGGTGGTGCGTCCTCCACTAAATTAGTGCAAAATGTATTTCAGTCAAAGGATAAATACTTGGAATGATTATGTTATACTTCTCTTCTATACAACATCAAATGACTTCTACATGGACATCCTCTCAAGTCAGTCTTATGAACAACAATGAAACCTTCATAGTGCTTATTTATTTCTTTTTTCGTAGGCTTTATTTAAAAGTATTGCTCAAAAGCTTAAGGTCGTGCTTGAATTAAAAGTGGTTATTTCTAAGGCTTATACCTCCATGCTACGCATATTATAGTGGGAAGTACATATGAAAGGAGGAGTAATACTTGCAAATAGTGTTGTGTTATTATATTGACTTTTCAATATTATTTTGTATTTTATGCGAAGATGTTTTTTACTTTACTTAGTCAATAAAAGTCACGTTTCACAAATATAGATTAATTTTTAATTATTAATTTTGAAATATTACGTAAATTATGTCTATTAACAAAATATATATATATATATATAAGAGATATGTGTCATTTCATTTATTGTATCACGTATATAAAAATTTAATATAGATAATCTTGATTTAACATAAATAATCACATTGCATCGTTTTTTAAAATTAAGAGATAAAATTGAACTTTTTAATAATAAAAAGACCAAATTAAACGAATTAAATTAAATGATTAGCTAAAAAATAATTTATCTTATTTTTATATTATTTCATCTTATGTTGACTTAATTTGTACGAGTATGTTGACTTATTTTAATATGTCCCATATTTTTGTCCATTTTTTATTTATCAAATTATTCAACTATTAAAATTATTTAAAATAAATACAAATTAAGTGTCAAAATCAACAAAATTATCAACAAGTCATTCAAGTGGTATTAGATTTGGTTTTCAATGGAGATTTAATCATCAACGAAACTGATGGATATTTCAAGCTAACATGGTTACAAAAAAAATTTGAATTAATTAATATTTTAGTTAACAAGTTATTCAAGTCATCAAAATTATTAAATTATTTAATAAAAAACATTATACACAAATTAAAAACAAATTAACTACCCAACACAAACTAGTTCCATCGTGTATTTCAAACAAAATACAAAACAGAAACTAATTTCCATTCGTTTCGGTTGTGTAGTTAATTGATACAAGAAAGTGTGAACCTGAAATATAAAATAATATACAACATAAATTAACTTTTCGTTATGTATTCTATATTTCTATTTGTACTAAAATATATAAGGGAAACTTGTTTCTATCGAGAATATTTTTTGTCAGCAAAAAAAGAAGTGGGAGTGCAAAGATCAAACGAGGAGTGTTAATATCATGCGCCTATTGAAATTTGGTCTCAGAATCTAACGACTGCACCCAAAAATTTTTTTTTTAGTTTACAAGAGATTGAAGTTTTGATATTTCAGTTATTGAGGGTGAATTTAAAATTTTATGCTTCATTCATTGTATTTATATGAACAACAACAAAAAAAATTACTTGGAAAGAAATTTAGCTCAACAAGAAATGAAGCTTCTTTATTTATACAACCTATGGTGATATTTTCATCATTGATAGAAACATTGAAGGAGACTTGAATGAAACAAAATCCTAGCTCACGTATTGCTTCTCAAGAAGGCTTCCACAGAATGCCAAATCAAATCTCTCCTCAGGAGGATCACCAATGCAGTCAAACACAGCATCTGCATTTAAGAAATCTTCATCTGCTGTATACCTGCATTTGGATGAAAGCAACCTCATGTTCACAAAACCATAAGCATTTAAGAAATTTACTGAGAAAGTAAAGACAAGCTTTAAAGATTGCACAAACATCTAAGGTAAATCAGGAGCCTAAAAAGTTTAGGTAAATGTTAAAATTTAAACATACACCAATTTTTCCTTTTATCTCCTTTTTCATCCCATCTTTTTGGAATATAGGAGCTGTAAAAATCTCCATGTAGCCTTTACATAACAGACAATAATAGTTCCACAAAGATTCTAGATACAATTTTCAGTAGAGTCTGGTGGTAATCTTAGATAACTTTCCAATTATGTGTAAAGTATTCACATTGTTTTCAAATATGACTAGATATTGTAAGATAGGATAAACATTTTCATGGGATCTCTACAAAAAAAGAATTGTCATTTACTAATGGACAAATAATGCAAGTATTAGGATTGTTTTTGTTATTATATCATTTGTCTAATGGAAATTAAATTATTAGACATTGTGCTTTTGGGTAACCATAATATTAGTACAAAGTATCTACTGTTAAAAACAGTAACTAACATTGGTCAGAGACCATGATACACATAAGATAAGTATTACCCTCACAACATAATTTATTTCATACTTAAAATCAAATACAAGCTTTGGACAACTTGATTAAAGGATACAAGCCGTTACCATTAATATATATTATACTAATATTTGATGTTGTGATAGTATATATTAATTTTCCATACCAACAAAATTGTCCGTTAGTAGGATTTTATTATAGAAATGCAAAATCATATCAGCAATTTAAATTCCATTAGACAAACGCTATATCAATGGAGTGTAATCCAACAAGTAGTGTATTCATGTTGCCAATGCCTATCAATTAAACAGAAATTTAGAAAACACAAAGCTGCATCCAATTTAGTAAGTAGAAACATACCCGCTCTTTGTTACTATACAAGTCATTCCAGCTGCTTTAGCAGCTGCTAGGCCTATGGCACTATCCTCCACTACAACACATCTGTAGAAAACAATTTTTTTTATCAGTAAAAAAGATTACAACAATAATAATGAGAATTGAACTTAAGTCTTCACTACCAGACCAGCCCTAATGGTTCTGTGTAAAAAACAAATAATGACACTTCACATTCAAATGTGACATGTAAATGAATAAAAAGTGAATGTAAAACACTTTAGTTGTTAAGCCATCATAAAATACTATAGTGAAATCTTATTTGAATGACAATTTTAGCAACTGTAGTGAAATCTTATTTGAAACCTTTTTCATAACCAGCAACTGTAGAACTGTATGAAATCTTATTTGAATGACAGTTTTAGCACAAGTTATTATCATGTAGGCACCACTATAGTGAGATACCTTGAAGGTTCAACACCCAGAGTACTTGCTGCTAATAGATAGATGGCCTGTCAGAAAGAGCATAATGCAATGAGCTGCTTAGATCATGCCATATTGTGAATTCAATAATCTAGAAAGAAAGACTGCAAATTCAATTTGAGCACACTATCAGGTAGCTATACCACAACAAAACCTTGTACAGATATACCTGACTACATACAATGGCATAAAAGTACCAATTTAACATTAGAAGGATGAAAATCTTACTGGATCAGGCTTTTTACGGGGAACCACATCTCCTGCAAATATCTTGATTTTTTCTGCTCGCTCAGGTCCCAGCAAGAATGATACTATTGCAGAGACCTAAAATCAACTCACAACTTAGGTCTGAAGATGAAATATCAAATAAATGTGGATCCATTCACTGAGAAGTAATCTATTATATAATAACAAGTTGAAAGTTGACCTATTAATACTCAAATTGCCTGGATTGCATCATGAAAAACCACATAACAATGACAATACATAATAATAACTATGAGGCTATAACTAATAGGAATTGAATCTCTAAAATATTATGAAACAAGGATCAGTGAGCCAATTTTCCCTATAGTCAAAAAATGTTCATTTAAGGAATTGGATAGGTGTTACGCATACCGCCTTCTCATTGGATGTGCTACAAACTGCAACATGGACTCCTTGAGCAAAAGCCTGATCGATAATCCTATATGTTTGATAAAAAGAAACATGACATAAGATAAGCACAGACTTTAACTTTCTTCATAATAAAGCATAGAGTTTTTAGTCGTGCTACATATAACGTGAAAACTAAGAAAGTTAGATCAAAATTGAATGATGGCATAAACAATATTTGGTTAATGTTTGGGGAAGAAACAAGATCATGAATTCATGATATAGAATGTTTAACATGTTCTTTCTAAATCAATTATTTCACAGGTAATCAACTTGTCTCGAGTTACAAGTTTGAATAAAATTGTGAAGAGACTAGCCCAATTCCAAAGGTGGTCTAAACTTGAAAAGATGGAACTCCAGCCAAATCACTTGGTCAACAAGGTTTCAATATCAAGTCAAGAAGCAAAGCAATCCAACGCACAAGCTATCATTAGGTGGAGGCTAAGGAATGGTTTTATTCATACATCTAACATAAACCATTATAGATAACTAATTTGAATAAAAGATAAAGAACAGATAGTAACCAACTTTGCAACACCTGGACGAAGAGGCAACAGTTTTTTCTCAATTAGGGCCATAAATAGTTCTGTCTTTTGTTTGTGGAGTGAAGCTATGAATTCTTTTCTTTCTTGTTCACCTGTTGGGGCATTAGCAGGCCAACCCGTCTGGTTAAAGTATGCTGTCATCCTAGTCAAAAAATGAATAAGAAAGGCACATCAAGTTAACTTCAAATTCATTCAACTGATGAACTCAACAATAGTATCGAGGATTGAAAGTTGTTAGCACAAGTAGTTTAATATCTATGCTCTTTAACCAAGGAATGATGTTCAATCCCCGATTTGAGTATTGAGTTACAATTGAAGGTATCACTTTACTTCTAATATAAATAAACCGATGAAAGGGAGTTATACCTCTTAGTTATAACAAAAAAATGAAAACAATAGCACCAAAGTACATTTAGATGAGAGCAATCCCAGTTCATTTTTTTTTTTTTTCATTTAAGGATGAGTTTTGAATAAGGTTTTAAATTGCAGTCATTATCATGGTTGTCATTTTGTCACAATTGCGATTGTCATGAGACTCAAAAACCTTGAATCCTTGATATTGTGACTACAACTGTTTTTGCAGACCATTTTCTAAAACATTGGTTTTGAAATGAGAGAAACAAAAGACAAACCTTTCCTTTCCCCCTCCAATTTTGAGCAATTCCCCGTACAAGTCTACATCCCAGGTAACTCCTAGTTCTCTCTGCATTGTAAAAACCAAGACAAGGCAACAACACATTTGTTAAATGTAAAAAAGTGAACTAAGAAAGAAAACATTAAGAACCATGTCAGCATCTCCAATGTTAGTTGCTCACTGGGTTCTTTAAGCTTAAGAACCAGTTCTTATATAGTTTCACTATTGGAATAATTGACGTAGCAATTCTTAAGAATAGTTGCTTGTATAAGCAACTGTTCTTAACATTTTAAAAATAATTTAAGACAGTTGTACAACTAATTTTACGTTCTTAAGAATTACACTAATGGATAGAAAACTCGTTGAAGTTCTTAAATCCCGGATTTGCAAGGCTCACCAAAAGTGAGTTAAGCAATTTCATCATAATTACACCATGTGAGCTACTCAATGGAAAAGAGTATAGGAAAATACTCATCATTCATGCACTATCACTTTCATTTCACTTCTAAGTTCTACCCAATTTTCTTCCTATCTCTCTTTTTCCCATCACATCCATATATCACCTCCATTACTTTCTCTCCATCTTTTTCCTTTTCTCTCTATTTTCTCCTATTTCCACCCCAAAATGGGAAAAATTATTAGATAGTCTAGCATCACCAAGTATTCATAGTCGCAACCAATCATTATGTGACATACACTTAAGTTTTTAACTTATGAATAATAATTATACTTGATTACATATCATATAGAGACTAATTAAGTATCATATTATCCATAACCACCTAATAATTTCTTCCAAAATGGAATGGATGAATATCATTGCTCAAATGTATATATATGTGTAGGCACATACCTCTTGGAAGGTTTGGTTGAAAGATATGCGATGGCCATCTTTCTCAGTATCCACAAGAACTCCATCACAGTCAAATAGAAGAGCCGAGGGGAGAGTGGAAGAGGAAGATGCGGATGCAGAACAAGTGAACCTACGAGGAGGAAGCCTTGTGGTTGTAGTGACTCCAAACGATGTTGTTGGTCTTGATATCTTAAGAGAAGCAAGTGCTGTGAAGGAGGATGATGGAAGTTGATCATGGTCCTTGTGTTTGAGGAGGCATTGGGTTTTGGGTTGAGGTGTTGTTGGAGTAAAGAGTGAAGCAGAGGAGATGGAGATGATGCTAGTTGCTGCCATTAATTACACACTTCACAAACCTCCTCCTTTCACCTTTCTCCTTCCATTCATCTTCAACTTATCTGCTTCCGTGGGACCGTGGAGTCCAATGGTGTGGTTCTAACTTCCAACGTCCAACACAGGTTTTGATTAGGCTCACCCTTCTCAACACTCTCCACGTGGAAAAGTGATTTTTTTTTCCCTAAAAAGAAAAATACTTTTTTCTCCATAGATAAAACTGGCTTTTAAAACATGCGATGCAACCTTTTCTTTTTGTCTTTTTTATAAATATGTGCGCCTCAAAGGTTAAAAATTTAAGTAAAAATATCGAGCCCGTGGTGTAGATTAAAATTCCACCCCAGACGTAAGTTTCGTGCATGTCTTGTTAAAGTAACCCCATGTTATCTGCAGTCAAAATATGAACCATTCATCGTACTCTTTCTTAATTACTATACACTAATCAATGGTTAAGATTTGACTGCACATTAGCTACACACAAAATTTGCTCGACAGAATCTAATTTCTCCCCTCCCATCTCTAAGGCCCTATATGACAAAAAAAAATGCGCTTAGCAAGTAAAATTAAAAGAGAAACAATTACATAAATGTTCTCGTTTTTTTTTTTTTTTTCTTTCCAATAATGATATATAGACACTCTTATATACTTTTGGTAAATTAAAGTATTCTTAGCTAAGGACTAAATCTTCAAGATATTTTATATCTATTTAAGAAGTTGACATTTTTTAATATATATTTTTTCGTATGTACAAATTAAGAAACAATCCTCTAATTACGTACAAATTATGTCATACATTATCTTTCAAGATACTTAGATATATTTAAAAAGTTAATACTTTTTAACAAATATTTTTTCATACGCATAGATCAAGAAATAATTTTTTAATCACGTATTACTTTATCCTTCAAGATATTTAGATTTATTTAAGATATTAAAAAATTTTATCAATTTTTTTTATACAGATATATCAAGAAACAATCATTTAATCACATGTTTAAAAGATAAGATTATCTATTAATTATATCATACCTTATCAATAGACACTCTTATATAACAAACACCTTATTAACATTAATTATTTTTCTCTTCTTTTATTTTTTATTTTTTATCACAATATAACACTTACTAAGTTACCACACATACACTTCTCTCTTTTGGTATCAATTAGCTTTTGGTGTCCATGAATTATGTAACCGAGTCATTGCTTAAATTGCATAAAGTAGTATATATTAAATTTACAATTTCTTTTTAAAGATATACGTATATAAAATAAAAATGTTTCAGCTTAGTTACAGACACATTCTCTTTCATGTCTTGTTTTAAAAGAAATTCCATTCATTAAGTGGCCCATATAATCTTATAGCTTGAAGAAAATGAACTTCAAAAGAAAAAGAAACATATATATATATATATACTCAATTGCTCATTTTCAGAGCACGTAATGATACAAATGCATTCCTCTTTTATCCATTTTTATAAATGGAATTGGATGTACAACAGAAGAAAAAGTCAAAAAAAAAAACAAAAAACTACCTATTCTTGAGGGACTACAATATCATTCTTTAAGAGCGCATGAGGAGAGGCCTTTGCATAACTTTGACATGGTAACCACCTTAATCAAATTTGACTTAGCTGCATCCAGCAATGGATCTGATTGGATGGCTTTGTCAAAACAATACTTGGCCTCTTCCAGAAGACCCTCAGCAACAAACACAAGACCAAGATTGTTGAACGCAGGAGCATATCCAGGCTGTAGTTCAAGTGACTTAGTAAACATAGCCTTCGCGCGTTGATATTGTTTCTGATGGCGATAGAGAATTCCCAAGTTGGATAATATAGCATGTGCTTGTTGAGTTGTTGCCAAGGACAATGCTTGCTTGTATACTTCTTCAGCTTGTGATGGTTCTTCTGATAGTTGAAGTGAGACTCCTATACATGCATTATCAACCCGTATGAACACCTATATTATCAAAAAATTTATTCTATGGGAAAGGGGAGTGAGGGACCTAAAGTGCCAGACAACAGTTAGCAATACCAAAGACATTATTGAATTTGAAGATGACCAAATGTACATTCCTATTACAGCTAGAGAGAGAGAGAGAGAGAGAGAGAGAGAGAGAGAGCATACCTAGGTTAGACCATGCATAGCTGCAATCCTTGTCACAAGCTACAGCAGCTTTGAGGTACTTTTGTGATGTTTTGAATTGCCGAGCACAGAGGCTATGAACGCCAAGTTGGTGCCACTGCACAGCATCATCTGGATCTTCTGCTATAGCCTAGTAGAAAAAGAATGACACACCAAACAAAATATAACAAATATATGCATCATAGAAACACCAAAAGACATTATGAGTTGTGACATTTAAGATGAAATAATCAAGCAGATAAAAACCTAAGTTGTGTAAACAACACTATGCATGATAAACCTCAACTAGCAACTGGATAATTAAAGATAAAGCTAGGTTATCCTAGGATGATAACTAAAAAAATAAAGCAATAAATTACCTGCTTTAAACTACTAACAGCACGTTCTTCAACTTCTCTCAGCCCATGCTGTTCACTTTCATATGCTGCCGCTATCTCATGCTGAGCCTTGTGAACCATGGCAAGCCCGGCCCATGCTATTGGAAGCTCAATCAGGGATGAATCACCATCTCTTATTATAGAAGCCATCTCATTTCCAGCACATGAAAGCAGTTCACTAGGATCTTGAGATCTTTCTGCCTCCTTTATTCGATGGATAGCAACAGCATATCGGGTAGACATGCAATTAGGTTCCAGTTTGGCTGCCTACAAAGAAATGGAAAAAGTTAAAATTTAGCAAATGTCGACGCAATCCAGAAAATTTCCACAGGGTGGTTTTCTTTTGGTGGAGTGAAGAGGACTTTAAAAGTGCCACTAACACCATGCAATACACACGTTATTGATGAGAGTAATTCCTTCCATTTTAATTACGAAAAACAAAAAAACAAACATGTAGAAGGATCCACAAAAAATATTTCCACCAATAACTAAAACCAGGAAACCAATGAACAACCTCAATAAATACGCTATAAATGACTGTAGCAAGGAGCCATGAGCACCTTCTCCAAGCACTTGCTGGAACTTCGATGATCACCACTAATAGAAAATGCATAGGCAAGATTTGCCCAAACATGGGCTGATTTGCTATCCGCTTTAATTGCAGCCAACAAACATTCCTTAGCAACATTAGCAGCCATAATCTGATCAGCCATGCCCCCATCAGCAGCACTTGCACCAGGACCTGGAATTAATAAAGAATCATGGTACAAAAAATTCATCATCCATTTAAGAATAAATGACAAATAAAAGTCATATCCCACGAAATTGAGTGCATAGAGCCACAGAGCAATAAAAGCACCTGCCACAACCGAAGCATATTTCCACAAAAGAAGGGCAGCATAATTGACCAAAGCTGCAGGATGGTTTTGATCTTTTAGAATCAATTCTTGAAAACATTTTGCAGATAACTCCAAATTCCCACTGCAAAGCAATACAGGAACAGAATTGACTATTGAGGAAAATATATGAATGGGAAAAAAAATCATCTCAACCCTTTTTAATTAAAGCCACAAAAATATTTGTATTCTCCAAATAATTCGATGCAATATTCCAGAAAGAAGTCAGAGTACTACCCAAAAAGAATAGCCACAGTTTTATATTATAAAAGTAACAACCACTATTGCATGGATGTGCAAGCTAAGAAGCAGACACTTCTAAATGGTGGGTGTCATGTCATTACCCTGTCAAATATGTATTCTTGTTGGATACTGCATGGACACTTCAAATACTTTCAATTGCATTTTTATAATTTTTATATATTTTTAAAACCTTTATACCAATACAGATTATAATACCACAATAATTAGATAAATTTTTGTATTTCATTATGTTTATAATGATTTATTCTAATTTTTAAATTTTAATCATGAATTCTCTTTTGTGATTTAAATTTTATTTTATGTTAACTATAGATTAATTTATGCATCTAATTATACATTTATCATGTCCTATAATTTTTAAAATTTGTTGTATCGTCAAGTCCATATTGATCCATATTCCAGATCATAACAGTACATCCTAATGAATGATAAAAATCTTAGGAGAACCACTTCACAAAAGCTAGCCATTGTAGTCAGAGAGCCCAAGGCCTTATAAATGCCACACTAGAATCTCATACTTTCAATGAGGGACTCAAGTCTCACACTGCAATTGGATTCTAACATCCCACTATGCTCTACGGTCCTGATGCCAATACAGGTTGTTCACTAGCCCTTTGATTAGTCCAAGACAAACACTACAATGACAACAGCACCAACAGCGCACTCATTTACAGCAGGTTACATGGTATAAAGCTCTAGTGTGCCAAATGATAAGAACCCTCGTAGAACCACCCAACAGAAGCTAACCATAGTAATTGGAAAGTCCAAGGCTCTATAAAATCCCATACTCCTAATATGGGACTCAACTCAAGTCTCATACCTTGCAAATGTATCCTAACAGCATTTCCACGATCTGAATTTCCTGCTTAAACTTTTATGTTCATATTTTTAATGTTGCATGTTTTCTGAAGATGAACTTTTCTGTAAATAAAAATAGCATTATTTGGCCAGTGATAAATAAATTTAATACAATTTTAAATTTCTAAATGAAAAATAACATCTTTTTTACCCATTCTTCCCAGGAATTTGAGAGTCCATTCACATTAAAAAATTTCTATTTGTCATAATCTCTTTACTTATGTCATGTGTCCAGTGGCCAATACTATGGTCTCTCAAAAATATTACATGCACAAAAAAGATTTATATCATATTTCATATTCCCTCTGAACCTATATATAATAAAAATAAAAAAAGGCCAATTTCACATAAATTAAGAAAGTTAGTTGAACGCATTTAATTTCATATAAAATACATACTACATAATCTGTAGATAGTGCTCATATCTATTGCTTTAGGAATATTTTTGGATTAAGAGCATTAAATAAGGTTGATTTTATTGAAATTTGCTTATATTTCAGTTCAAAAAATTTTAATATTTTTTGTTTATATATAGTTCCAAAGGAAGTACAATTTATTTATTCTTTCTTCACCACAGTAACAACTAAAAAGTCTAAAATTGTATGTAGTCTATTCAAATCAACTTTCTTTTTCAATTTTTGTATATTATTTCCTTCAAGATCTCCAAGTATTTCAGGTGCAAAATAAAAAAGGAGGTTTTATGTTATTTCAAATCTCTCTGTTCTTTTAGGGACTTTTCTTTGTTTCCTCTTCAAATTGCTGTATTCACATTTCACAGTACTTTAAACTAACAGAACAACAAAAAAATAAACCAAAAGTACACATCACATAAGGATGAATCTATCATTTGTTAAAGGCACTGCTTCATATAGAAAATAAAAAATAATAACACCCCAAACAATATCGAGACAATGACCATTCATACTTACATTTGAAGATAAGCTATCCCAAGATTTCCTAGGCAATCATAGTTCTCTGGGGCTATGGCCAACAATGATGACAAAACTGAGATAGCACTCTACACCAGTGTTTGAAGTCACATTGGTTCAAGCAAAGGGGAAACAATAGTCACATCAAATACTGACAAAACATCATATATGCCTTAAGAACATTAACGCATAAAGGAAAGCAAACAAGGTGGTTGTACCTGCACACGACCAGTTTTAAGAAGGATAAAACCCAGTGTGTTCCATACAGCTGTCTGTCTGATATCTGACTGCACTGACTCTTTCAGCTTAGAAAGAATCTCTTCAAGTTCATGAGGTTGAAGTTCTTTATCTGAACTATTTTCTGATGAACTTTCTAGTATCAGGCACTAAAAGGATTATAAAATATGTCAATGAACAGACAGATTAGAATTGTTAATCCATCAAATTAAGATCAGTGCACCTGTGCATGGTGAATCTGAACTAAGGACAGCAACTCTGGCCTATCAATCTCAGCTTCAGACCTGAGCAAAATCTCTTCTGCCTTCTCATAAGCCGCCACAGCCTGAAATTTTTTTAATGAACAATGAGCAAACTATATGTATAAAACATAACAGATAACTTTAAGGCACTGCTTAGTACCTTTTGAGGTTGGCTTAATCTTTGGTACATCAAGCCAAGTATAAAATGAGCATGAGCATTTTTGGGCATCTTCCTTGCAACATGAACCAAGCCCTATGGCATGAACTTATTTTGTCAGTAATTAGAGTTTAGAAGTAGGATGATTTAAATAAAAGGGAAAAACATTTAATGACTTTAAAGTAAACTCACAGTCTTCACACTGCTAACTTTTTCCTCCCGATATGAAGGAGGCCCTTGAACATGTTGATCACCATCTGCATCAGCTCCACAATCAAGAGAAGAATCTGTCTTGCTAAGTCTGGAGCGGCATTTACCCAGCTTGTTTAACTTTTTACTTTCACCTTCATTGCTATCAGTCTCTTTGGATAACAAACTCTTATCTTGACTGTTTTCTTCATTTGCCAAACTATATCATAATTTTAAAAAACCAATAAATGACAAGAAGCAAGAAAAGATACTAAGTAACACTCTAACAATCTAAAAAGTTCATTTGGCAGTAATAGGTCCCACCATCTCAACAAATTTTTAAGACAATATTGGTGACAATTGAACAAATAATAATTAAAGAAAATATTTTCTTCCATAAAACAAAAACAGAAAACTTGTTAAAAAAAACCTCATCAGAATACAATACTTCAGAAAAAACTTCAAAATGAATAAATATAAAACATGCAGAGAAATACTTCTGCTTTTTATATTTTATCTGAAGTCGTTTCCTTTTTCTTTCTTGGAGTACAATGGCAGCATTCATTGAACCTGGGATCTCATGCAAACTACCCAAACTACCTGAAGTTGAGTTGGTTCTCCAATGTTACACATGTCACTCGGATCTAAACCACCACCATATTTTAGTCCTCCAAAGAACTTGTCAGCAAATTAGCCTCTCAAAATCTAAAATGTATCCACATTCATGCTTATAATTTTCCTAACAACCATAGAACCTCTCTTGTACTTAATCACAGTTTGTCATGAAAGCAATTATCTTCAATAAAATTACAATTTACAAATCCAAAGCCCTTTCCCCGTCTTCCTATTCTCTCTAGGCATGACAACTTGCAACACTCCCAAAACACACTAGAAAACACCCAAAAAAATAGATAACTGTCGATATTTTGGAGTGTCTTTCCCATTTACTCGCAGTTTAAATGCACTAGCTAAGAAACAAGAACCTGAGGCAACTTAACGAGAACTCGTAGGGTTAGGTGAGGTTTTGAACTCGAGATTTGAATTGGTTCTCTAGCAGCGGAAATCAAAAGATGGAAAACGAAAATTGAAGTGATGTGAGAGTGTGGAAGAGAGCCTCACGCGGTAACTGGCGGCGGCGGAGGGAGGAGTGAGGAATCGTCGTCGTCGGCTTCGGGAGGATCGACGTTGAGGTCGGCCAAAACGACAAGCTTCGTGGTCGTTTGGCGAAGAGTCTTCGAGTTGAAGCTCTCTTCTGCAGCCAACTTCTCCGCCATTTCTGGTGTGTTAGGTTTTTCATTCCGCGTTTTCCTCTATATAGTTTTTTGTGCACACTCGTTATGACTAGGATTTCTAGTGTGACATCATTTTATTATTTTTATTTTTTATTCAAAACTTCTGAAACTTGTAAAAAGAAAAATCAACAAAGTGAGTTGATAATTAATGTGAAAGTTTTTGGTTAGTGGATAATTATATGCACGTATTTTTTAGTCTTAAACTTTTTATTCTAACAAATTTTCGATGACAAAAAAAAGGTTAAAAACCTAAAGAGAGACAAATTTAAAAAACATTCTTATATGGAATATATATATATATA